AGGTTCCTTTTGCCATAGGGTGGACTATGCCTTTCATACCATCATACAGTAAATACAGGAATAGGTTCAATCTCTCTTTCTTACTATGATCCTTGGCCTATGTTTGCACTTGTGTTTGACCAATGTTTTGACCAATGGCAGGGTGGGCTCCAGGGCCTGGGGGGCTTTAAGAGAAGCAGAATGAGCAGGTGTCACTTGGGGGACAGAGAAAGGGACAGCAGAGCAGATGGAAAGACCAGGATGGCCGAGAGAGTCCGTGTGATTCCAGCACCACCAGGGCTGTCTCACCATGTTCAACAACTGCAATTACAGTTTCTGAGGAAATGTTGCTTATGTTTAACTAGTTTGTGAAAAATACACTGTGGTAGAGTATATCAGTTTTTATTTAGAAACTCGCTCCATGGTCCACTTTATAAAGCTTTTGTTGTTCTGTTTTGTCTTGGTTTGTTTGGTTTTTGCTTTAAGTTCAGCAGGCTTCCACTTCCAGCAGGGCAATTCTTTCTAGGATGGAGGGCAGGAGAGATACATGCTGAGGGTCTCCCCATCCCTTTCCTAAGCAGAAGAAAATGCAGGCAGATAAGGCTGGGTCAGACGAGCTTCAGGCAGGGAGGAAGAACTGGCATTCCTAGTGGGAAGGGCCCCCCATTGCCTGTAGTCAGGGGAAGGCTGGGGAGGACCCCTGTGCTCGGCCTCTTCCTCTCTGCTCTCACACTGGTGGCTGCCCTGGGTAAGCTGCAGGCTTTCCCCAAAGCCCTGGGCTGAGATCGTCACCGAGGTGTGCAGGCAGCTGGCTGGCTCAGGTCAGCCCCGTGTGGAACTACTCGCTGGGTTTGGACAAGAAAGTAGGAGAGTAAGGCTCCAAACACTACCTTCCCATCCATCAGCGGCCAAGTGTAAGATGTGGGAATGCTGCCCATCCACCCTCAGTTTCCTCAGCCTGCAACAGGGTAAGCGCTGCTCCGTGAATACTGTGGGAGGGTCGGAGGGGACCTCCTGGGAAGAGCCTCCCAAGCACGACGTGCACCCTGTAAGTGCTCCATGAAGGGATGGAGGGTTGGAGGGGACCTCCCAGGAACAGTCCCACAAGCATGGCGTGCACCCTGTAAACGTTCACTGCGTTCTTCACGTTTTTATTCCTACGCTCACAATATGCTGTTTAGATTGGGTAGGCCAGCCGCCCTATAAGTGCAATAGTAAGACTTGCATTTACATTCTATTCTGAATCTGGGGAGATGGTTGTACGTTCATGAATAATGACTATAATTGCTGTTTTTTCTCTTAATGACAAAAATGGTGTCGTGAAGAGCTGGAAATTAGGAAACTAAGATGCTTTCCGCCTTTTGTGTTTGCGACCTCATTTTCACAAAAAGAAATTACCAGCCCCTAAGTATTTATTATACACATCCTGTACATCTAAAAAAACCCAAAAACTTAGCTCAGTGCTCATTACACGTTCTAGTGTTGCCACTGTTTACAGCATGCTGCCATTGTCATTATTGTGATAATATTTTAAAGTACATGTTTCCATGCATCCATCAGGAAATCCAGTCCTGTACAGTGGAAATGAGAATGTGGTATCAACATGTGGCACCATCAAATTTAATTCATTTCAGTTAAATTTTATCTTTTATGCCGTTCTTTTATGGAGCCACATTCATAAGATAGCTTCTCGGCTAAACATTAGGCAGAAATAGGATACGTGAGTGGGGCAGTAATGGACTCGCTTTTTAATATGAAGGGAGATTAGAATTGTATTAAATTACACGTTAATGGAAAAACAAAGTAAAAGATAATAGGATGACAACTTTATGCTGCTGTAAAGTCTGGATTACAGCACATAGTTTTGCTATTTAGCAGTTGAATATTGAATTTCATTTGGAAACTTGCTTTTAATTATATTAAAATAATATCTAAATATTCCCCCAATATATTAAAGTGCCCTCGTTATAATTTGACTATTTGAGAAAGGAAGACGCAGCCGGGCCGTTACAGCAGGTGCTCCTGTGAGACGGCGTGGGCACCTGAAATATAACACAGTGAGGCTCACTTTGAAGTTAAAGGGTCTGTTTATCCTTGAACTGGAGACTGTTTACTGTGAGACATGCAGGAGAAATCCCTTTGCTGGCCTCAGTAGGAGAAACAGCCCCACACCTTGCTGTCAGTCTTGGGATCCCTCAGGAAATCTTTATATTCGCTTCTGCTTTCACACCTGGATGTGAGAAGCTGGTCCCTGACTTCCCAAGGACCTGTGAAATCGCATCCTTTCCTTATCCCATGTTTCCATGGCATCGGCTGGCAGCCCTGGATCGTGAAACGGGACGTTCTGAGGCCATACCTAGGACTAGTCATTTGGTAAACTTTCTCAGCGGGGGATTTTTTTTTCTTTTTTTTTTTTTTTTTTTATTTTTTTTTTGCCTTGGTTACCTGGAGGGTTGGGGTTGGATGCGATGGGAAAACTCTCACTCCCCATCATTCCGCTTGCTTTCCCTGGCATCCATGTTGCTCAGGGAGTCAGAGTGGGCAGCTCTGTGAGTGCAGGGCATGACGGACTCACCCCAGGACTGCAGGCAGGGGTGCATCTCAGGCTGCGGAGGGTGGTAAGGAGCAAGTGGAGAGAGGAGCAAGTGGGAGAGATGCTTATGGTGATAGGGGAGCTGGCAGGCAGGAACTCGTTCCGGGATCCGAGGCACGGAGGTGGCCCAGGGGAGGCAGGTGTTAGACAAACGTGTGGGGGATAGTTCCCTTCCTGAGGAGATGGCCACACTCAGCCCTTGAGGAGGCCACTTCTTGCTCCTGTCTGGGTCTTTGGCCTCGAGGACAGCACACAGCTAGGCCGAGTGGTGTGGAGCCGGGTCTTGGAGTGAATGCAGGGGATGCATTCCAGGCCTGAGAGCAGAGGCGACAGAACCCAGGCAGTGACATGTACAAATAATGGCAGCCCGGTGTGCTGAAGGCCCAGCAGACTCACAGGGACGTGTGGACCGTGAAGCAGAGGGAGGCTCAGCAGCTCCTCTGGTCATCACAGAGCTCGGACATCTGGTCTGGGCCTGGCACTGCTCCAGGGTGGCCCGTGGCTGTCACAAGGCAGGCAGCTGAGCCCACAGGAGCTCGCCGTCCTAGCCGTGGCCTTGGTTACAGGCCAAGAAGACAGGGCTCCCCTAAAAGTTGGTGGATGGGCTGGGGTGCATTTGAGGGGGACAGCCCCACAGCTATGTCTGGGTGGAGGCACGGGAGAGGGGACAGAGGAGGCGGCCATCGTGATGGTCCTGGTGACAAGGAGGAGGGTCTGGGAAGGGAGGGGCCTGTGATGGAGGAGTCAGGTGTGGGGTTGAGGGGGGCCTGCCAGGAGGAAGAAGATGTGGGTGCAGAGACCAGGGGAAGCAACAGGCCGTGGAGCTGGCATATCCTCCTTCTCTGCAGGTCACCCCAGCGCCCAGCTGCCCTCCTAGGGAGAGAGGAGAGAGCAAGCGACCTGCCCCTTGGTGGCTCAGCGGCCATAACACAGGCTGTGCTGTGTTGTAGCCATGGCCTCACTCCCCCAGGCATTCAGGGAAAGCTCACTGCAGGCCGAAGAAGGGCACAGGGAGGAGTTGGGTGGGCAGGGATGCAGCCTGGCCTCTGGGAGGAGTTTGGTGGGAGGGGTTACAGCCTGGCCTCTGGGAGGAGTCGGGTGGGCGGGGATGCAGCCTGGCCTCTGGGAGGAGTCGGGTGGGCGGGGATGCAGCCTGGCCTCTGGGAGGAGTCGGGTTGGCGGGGATGCAGCCCTGGCCCTCTGGGAGAGTCGGAGTGGGCCGGGGATGCAGCCCGGGCCTCTGGGAGGAGTCGGGTGGGCGGGGATGCAGCCTGGCCTCTGGGAGGAGTCGGGTGGGCGGGGATGCAGCCTGGCCTCTGGGAGGAGTTTGGTGGGCGGGGATGCAGCCTGGCCTCTGGGAGGAGTCGGGTGGGAAGGCATGCAGCCTGGCCTCTGGGAAAGGAGGCATAGCTGCCCCCACACAGATGGGGCCTCGAGAAAGCCCCTCCCATCCTCACTGGCCTGTAAGAATGTGAACTGAACAAATGATTTCGCAATTAATATGTGTGTATGTGATACATGAGCTTACCAGACAATATCACCCATCAAATACCAGATGCTATTTTTAAAACTTCTTAAGCTGTACCACACAACTGAAATCTAAGTGAAATACAACTATGCTTTTCCCCCCAAATTGTTAATTTCCTTTAATACCACAAAATCCAGCTGTCAAGAGACCTGTTGAATCTACTAGCTGCTAAATCTTGGTCATTAACCATTTGGGAACATCAGTGTTCCCTCTCCACTCCTCACACTTTGTGATATAGAAACAACTGCGTGGCCGGGCGCGGTGGCTCACACCTGTAATCCCAGCACTGTGGGAGGCCAGTGATCACCTGAGGTCAGGACTTTGAAACGAGCCTGACCAACATGGCGAAACCTCGTCTCTACTAAAATTACAAAATTAGCTGGGCGTGGTGACGCCTGCCTGTAGTCCCAACTACTCAGGAGGCTGAGGCAGGAGAATGGCTTGAACCCGATAGGCCGAGGTTTCAATGAGCTGAGATCGTGCGATTGCACTCCAGCCTGGGCGACGGGGCCAGACTCCGTCTCAAAAAGCAAAAAAAAAAAACAAAAAAAAAATTAGCCGGGGCAGTGGCGGGCGCCTGTCATCCCAGCTACTTGGGAGGCTGAGACGGGAGACCCGCTTGAACCCGGGAGGCGGAGGTTGTAGTGAGCCGAGATCGCGCCCTTATCCTCCAGCCTGGGCGACAGAGCAAGACTCTGTCTCAAAAAAAAAAAAAAGAAAGAAAAGAAAGAAAAAAATAAACCAGAAACCACAAACCTGCCCTCTCGAGTGCCCAGGCCAGACACGGACACTGATTACTGAAAACACAGCCCACGATGGGGGTCACACGTTCCCCTTCCCCGCGCCTGGGGGTTTCCGCCGCGCTTCCGGGTGCTGAATGCCGTTTCTGTTTCCCCGCAGACCCGCAGTACTCATGGTCGCCCACGCAGCACTTCAATGAGGAGCGCTACTCGCCCGCGCCCAGGAGCATGAAGGGCCTCTCCGGAAGTCGGACCCAGCCGCCGCTGTGTCCCGGGCACACGTGCGGTCTGGCGCCCCCCGAGGACTGCGAGCACCTGCACCGCGGGCCCGACGCGCGGCCGCCCTACCTGCTGAGCCCCGCGGACAGCTGCCCCGGGGGGCGCCACCGCTGCTCGCCGCGCAGCTCGGTGCACTCGGAGTGCGTGATGATGCCCGTGGTGCTGGGCGACCACGTGTCCAGCAGCACCTTCCCGCGGATGCACTACAGCTCGCACTACGACACGCGCGACGACTGCGCCGTGGCCCACGCGGGCGCCAAGATCAACCGCATCCCGGCCAACCTGCTGGACCAGTTCGAGAAGCAGCTGCCGCTGCACCGGGACGGCTTCCACACGCTGCAGTACCAGAGGACGTCCGCGGCCGCCGAGCAGCGCAGCGAGAGCCCCGGGCGGATCCGCCACCTGGTACACTCCGTGCAGAAGCTCTTCACCAAGTCGCACTCGCTGGAGGGCTCCTCCAAGAGCAACGCCAACGGCACCAAGGCGGACGGCCGGGCGGACGACCACCACCACGCCCACCACGCCAAGCACAGCAAGAGGAGCAAGAGCAAGGAGCGCAAGCCCGAGGGCAAACCCCGGCCCGGCGCGAGCAGCTGGTGGAGCTCGGACGACAACCTGGACAGCGACAGCACCTACCGGACGCCCAGCGTGCTCAACCGGCACCACCTGGGCCCGGTGGCCCACTGCTACCCCGACGCGCTGCAGAGCCCGTTCGGGGACCTGTCCCTCAAGACCTCCAAAAGCAACAACGACGTCAAATGCTCAGCCTGCGAGGGTTTGGCGCTGACGCCCGATGCCAAGTACCTGAAGCGCAGCTCCTGGTCCACGCTGACGGTCAGCCAGGCCAAGGAGGCCTACCGCAAGAGCTCGCTGAACCTGGACAAGCCGCTGCTGCACCAGGACACCAAGCCCGCCCTGAGGCCGTGCCACTACCTCCAGGTAAGCAGGCGCAGGGCCCTGTGGAGGCCGACTCGGCACAGCAGGTGGTTTTGTCGTTATTCCATTTGTCATTGACAGATGAAAACTGCATACACATTTAGGGTGTGCAACAGGATGTTCTGATATACGGATATGTTCTGGGACGGCTCCACTGAGCCACATTACCTTACATACGTTTTTTCTTTTGTGGTGGGAACACTTAAAATCCACTCTGGGTGATTTCCAAGTATTCAATACACGGTTATTAACTGATGCTACTGTGCCGGCCAACAGGTCTCTTGAGCTGACCCCTCCTCACTGAAATGTCCGTTGACCAACATCTCCCAGTTCCTCCCCATCCCCAGTCCCTCTGGTAACCACAGTTCCACTCTCTGCTTCTATGAGTTCAGCTATTTCAGATGCCACCTGTGAGAGCAACCGTGTGGCCTCTGTGTGCGCCAGGCTCATCCTGCTTTGCAGTTTCTTCCAGCTCCCCCATGTTACGGAGAGTGGCAGGTCTCCCTCTTTCAAAGGTTGAATAGTGTCCCCTGTGTATGTACCGCGTCTTCTTTATCCATCATTTGCTGGTAGATTCGAGGGTTGACTGCACGCTATGGCTTTGTGTGTGGGGCTGCAGGAATGGCAAGACGTTATTTACAGGCAGCTCTCACGCGTGACTCCGGCCTTCTCTGGGAGGGCCTCTGGAGATCCCAATTCCTCCGGGGAACCATCCCTCTAAACACAGTGGGCCATTTCTTTAATGCCTCTAAGGCTGGAGGGTTTAACAACCACAGCAAACACAGACTAGCCTATGTGGATGTTTTCCACGTGAAAGCTGATGGACCGGCCTAATGGAAATGGGCCTGCGACATTTGTGAGTTCACTCCCTGCACCTGACCACAGCCTCTCTAAGCCCCACCACCACAAAAAGCCTGATTATGGAAAAGGCCTCTGTGTCTCTGGGGTGTGGCTTAAATGAATTTACCAAAGGCAAAAACAAATGAAAGAAGGTAGATCCCTAGAGCTGGCATATTGCGGAATTGTCTGTTTTATGTGATTTCCCTCTCTGTCTCTGAATTGTGCCACGCCGGAGTTTCCCGGGGAAGCCCTCTGGGAAGCACACGCTACTTCTGAGGATGCCGCTAAGTGAAGACTCCCCTCAGTCAATAGTGCTGTTAACAAAACATAACTTGTGTGTCCCAACTCACAAATCCCTCCTGCTTGCCTAGAGCAGCAGCTGTGGGCTGTGCGTTGGGTTGGAGATGTCTTCATGGAGTAACGAACGGGACATTGATGGCTGAGCCAACGGGTAGGCAACTAACGGGTCAGCGAGAACCAGCAGCCGTGATGCTTTCTGGGAGTCGTGGTGGCAAATGCTTCCAGCGGCACCATCGCCGTCAGGTCCAGCGTCCACGTCTCAATAGCTCTGTTTTGAAAGGAAATGCTAACCAAATTGCCTTTGCAGGCAGGTTTATTCAGAGACAAATTGGTAGTTGCATAAAATATTATTTTATAGCAATGGAAGAGGCATAAATTTTGTTTGCTGTTGGCAAACCCTAATCATATCCAAATGCAAAAGTTGTGTCTGCTTGTTTAGAGAAACCTGCTATAAAGAATTGGGGTTCACTGTGATCGGTCTCCTCATTGTCACAGACACACAGCTCTCTTGTTTTTGTCTGTAACTGGGGTGTATAGTCTGTTCCCTGAGTGAACACTTCAGGACGCTGTCAGAGCCTCCAGGTTTTGCCCCAGGGTCACCTGCCTCCAATGCCTGCCACTCTCCCCCAGCCCCTCTAGCCACGCCTTCTCCTCAGGTCCTGTGCCCTTTGGACCTGCCTTCTCCCAGGAGTTTCTCCCACACACTTCCTCCCAGGCACACGCTTCTCTCCACCTCCAACAGCCACTCCATGGTGTAGGTGCAGGGAATACCAATCATTCACAAAGGTGAAGTGAGACAGAATGAACCTGCACACCGTCAGTCCCTTTCAAACACCATCCCTCCGAGAGTGACCTCATTCCCTCTGCACTCACGCCTTCCCACCCAGGCTTCACTGCGACAAATCCCACACGGCAGACAGATACAACTGTAAATATGCCTGTGTTGATCTCCAAAAGATCCACACGGAACAATGAGGATGCTTTCTTTTGAAGCATAACCACCTGCATTATGAGATATTGAAAACAATATCAGCCTGGTCAGTGGTCACATTCCCCTGAGGGCTCGCTGTCTCTTGTTGGCTTTTATTTGGATCAGGATCCAGAGAAGGGGCCCACCTGGCGGCTGGTGATGAGCCTCTTCATCTCGTTCAGGCTGAGGTTTCTCCTGTCTGTCCGCTCTTCCTTCTCCTGGATTTTCTTTGTTTGGAACCAGCTGGTTGGTCTGATTGTGTCTGTCAGTTTGAGTTCCGTGCCATGGGGTCATTTCAGACACTCTGGTCCTGCTGTTCTGCAGCCAGCCACCCACTGCTGGACTTCCCCGCCCCGAGGCCTCTCACCGTACATGTGTGGGTCACCAGGTAGCTTTACGTTCATCAGTCAGGTTTCCTGGCAAGCCTGTAAGAGCCTTAAGGGCAGAGGCCAGGTCAAACCTCCCTTTTTCTGGGGTCCCCCCACAACTCCGCCAAGCGCTGAGAGCCAGCAGGGCGGGGAGCGACCTGGGTTGGGCCGAGATGTTGTCCCAGCAAAACACATTTTCCAGACTTCAAAATGTGATGTCTTTTTATAGTAACAGGTAAAGAATGACAGGCTGTGAGTTGACCCCAGGAAAAGATGTGATTCTGGGGACACAACGTTGAGGTGAAATCCCCCTGGAATTCAATGACGTGGCCACAAGACAGAGACAGGAAAGAGAGGAGAAAGCAGCCACCAGGCCTCACACCCACCAGGGCTTCCCTGCAAACAGCTCCGTCTGCTTCTCCATGGGGGACGGCGGCCCTGCGTGCAGCACAACACCTGCCGTGGCCACCGGCCTCCCTCTCATGTCCACTCAGGTGAACATCCTCGGAAACTGAACCCAGAGCGTTGTCGTGCCAACATTGGGAAGCACTGCCTGGAGGATGGGAGGACATCTGCAGCCACGGCTTTCATGGTGCTCGTTCACAAGGGCACTTTCTTGCAGTAGCAAGCTCCCCCCATCCCCACATCCACCTCCCAGTGAAACCACCTCTTTCGGGGATGCAGCTCGGTGACTTCTCTCCCCTCCTCACTGTCCCCCAGTGGTCACCGCTGGACCCTCGTGGAATGATCTGTGAAGCTGAATATCAGGAGCTGTGTGCCACCTCCTCAGACTGTTTCTGTCTTAGGACCCAGCTGCATTGATGTCTGGCGTTTTCAAAGATGCCTGTGCAGGACTGTCCCTTCCTGTCGATTGCATTAAACTTTCTGGTGGAAAACTTTAGGTTTCTGGGTCCTCACAAACCCAGATTTTATTTCACAGCCAGGAAATAGTGAAACTAAAGGAATTTGTCTGTGGGTCCCAGTGTATGGATAAGATTTAAAAGAATTAGAAGAGAGAAGTAATGTTTATAAATTACATTCCTTTTTTTACTGGGAAGACTTGCGGCTGAATGACAGGATAACTTTTTATTTTCACCCTTGGTTTGTACAGAGTATGTGGTTCATATTAGAGGAAGATTTTTTTTCTTGTTTTTAAGTAGTTCAAGACAGAGACTAAGTGGAATTGAAAGGCAATTCTGACCTCACGTTATTCTTTCACAAAGCTCTTATTTTCATCTTTTCTGCATCAGCAGACTAAGCATCTAAGGTCAAACTTTTAATGAGCATTGTAGGAATGCAGAAGGGATTCACTGAGGCTTAGCTTAGGATGCAAAGGCTCTCTATGCCACAGTCCACAGAAAGTCCCAGGGACATGCAGGGAGGGAGAGACGCCGCCTCCCCGGGAAGGCTCCCGGCGGTGTCAGATGGAGGGATAGAGGGGTCCCTGCTGCCTCCCACAGAAGACCCGGCGGCCCCTCCAGCCCTTGGCCTCTGTCCCCGCCTCCTTCCCTGCTGTCCTCAGGCCTCCTCTCTGCGGCATCCCAGTCTCCCACCCCCTCCTGCGCTCCTGGTTTTCTCCTCTTCCAGTGTCCTCCCCACCTGGCATCGCCCGGCTGCAACCCTGGCCCTCCTGGGGAAGAGGTTCGGACCCTAGGTTTTATTTGACTTGAAGAGGTTCGGACCCCCCGTTTTATTTGGCGTGTTCACAGGCAGCAGCCAGTTAGGCTTTGGGTTTTACCTGTCAGGCTTTTTACCTGTTCACGTATTGGAAGCAAACGGCAGAAAAGAACACAGAGGGGAGGGGGTGGAATGAAAACACAGAACCGTGAGCGTTTCCCGCCCGCATGTAAAGTGTTTCAGAACCTCTCCCTGCTGCCGCCCTCTGCGCGGGTCCCAGCACCGAGTACGGACCCTTCCTCGCAGCCGTTCCTCTGAAGGACGTGTCTGTTTTGTAGGCTGTGCAGATCCCTGCCTTCCAGGCTCAGCTACTACATTGGTGAAGTTTCCGGTCAGGCACAGAAACACGTCTTAAAAATCCATCTCCCCGGTCACCAGGTCATCCCTGTGGTGTAGTTTAGAAAAATCATCCATCTTTTACAAAACGGAGCCAGGCTCCCCTGTTTCTTGTCTCTACAATAAGCATTTAAAAGGCTTGTCACGGGGCCAGGCACGGTGGCTCACACCTGTCATCCTAGCACTTTGGGAGGTCAAGGCAGGGGGATCACCTGAGGTCAGGAGTTCAAGACCAACCTGGCCAACATGGCAAAACCCTGTCTCTACTAAAAATACAAAAACTAGCCAGGCATGGTGACAAGTGCCTGTAATCCCCGCTACTCAGGAGGCCAAGGCCTGAGAATTGCTTGAACTTGATAGGTGGAGGTTGCAGTGAGCCAAGATCGCGCCACTGCACTCCAGCCTGGGTGACAGAGCAAGACTCCATCTCTAAATAAAATAAAATAAAAATAAATAAATAAATAAATAAATAAATGGTTTGTCATGGAATGCACAATGCTGGCCATTTGCTT